ATTAAGGATTGTCATAATAATAGTAGCTCATTATAATCTTGATTACATCATATATATATATATATATATATATAGTATTTTTAAATAGAGATTTGGATGAAAAATTCTATATAATAATCTGAATGATTCATAGAAAAGAAAAAGGAAAGTTGGGCTTGTAAACTTTGTAAATTTATTTATGACCTTAAATAAGTTTTCATGATATTATTATTTCATTCGGACTTTAGAAAAATATATTGATTAGTATATATATCTGAAAATTAGTAGGAGTAAGTTTATTATATTTATCTTATATATAAATATATTTTGTTTACTAGTAGTGATCTTGATTTATTGCATGAAATTAAAATATTTCTCACTAAAAATTTTAATATGGTTGATATGAATGTGGTAACCTATGTTATTAGTATTGAGATATTCAAGGATAGTTTTCGAGGATTGTCAGGACTATCTCAGAAAGGATATATTGACTATATTGACTAACTCTTAGAGAGATTTAGTATGCATCTTTGTGTAGCTAACGATATACCTATTACTAGAGGTGAAAGATTTAATCAAAGTTAGTATTCGAAAAATAACTTAAAAAGGAATTAAATGAAGAATATTCCTCATACATGTATAGTTAAAAGTCTATTATATACTCAAACCTATACAAGACTAAATATTAATTTTATAGTTACAATACTTAGTAGATATCAAAACAACCCAAGAATAGAATATTAGAAAGTTGTAAAGAAATTAATGATATATCTATAAGGGATAAAAGATTATATATTCATATATAGGAGATCAAATCAACTTGTAGTGATAGGATATTCAAATATTGATTTTATAAATTATTTTGATAGTAGGAAGTCCGATTTATATTCATGTTAGTTGGAGGGATAATTTAAAAAAAATATAAATTAATTACTTATTATATCATCAATAATGGAATCTAAATTTATAACATGCTTTGAGGTCACAAATTAAGTTTTATGGTTGCGAAATTTTATTTTAGGACTTGGTATGATCGATTCAATTGCCAAGCTATTGAAGATGTTTTATAATAATATTATAGCAGTTTTTTTCTCTAGAATAGCAAGTACTCTAGTATCTTTAGGTAGATCAAAATAAAGTACTTGGTGATTAGAGAAAGAGTCTAGAAACAACATGTCATTTGATAACCTAAATACTACCTTAATAATTATTTATTAATTTACTAAAGTTTTAAAGTTTAAAATATTTAACGAATATGTTCCTAGAATAGAGCTTGTGAGTAAGCTATCAAGGATATATTAATGTATATTTAGGTGGATGATATTATTATTTTTACTTAATTAAAGTTATTTATTTCTGCTATCTTATTTATATTTATGCATATTATAATTGAATGTAATACTATGATTATCTTAATAAAATAAATTACGAGGGTTATTATGGACTATGTTAGGAAACATTGACAGTTTTATGGTCTATAGAAGAGTATGACATTAATGACATACAATCACTCTAACTCGTATTGATAGTTAGACTTAATATAGTATTATTGTGGTTATTGGATTTATTGGTATATTTTAAAATTCATAGCCATGTATAAAATAATTTTTAAATTTTTTTAGAATCCAATTAGATAAAATTATTTTCAAATAAATTTTATTTTTATTTTGATTTTAATTTTTTTTATATCTTATGAATTAATGAATCAAATGAAAAATTATTAGATTATGTGGTTCTATCTAATTACATAAAATATATTATAGATATAATTGAATTTTGATGATGTTTATTATTTATCTTAGACCCTTCTTCTACTCTCGCTTGTAAATAGATATGATCTCTTAGAAACTTAATATGGATACGTGATATTATCGAGTGATTATAGATTTTTTTTCTTATCTTCTCTTAGTCACGTGAGTAGTTATTGAAATATTACATATTTTTTTGCATTTCCCCTTGTCCCTAATTTATTGTTCATAGTAATTTTATGAAAAATAGAAAAAGAGGAGAAGGTGAATCTAATTCTTGTAAATCGACATGACTGTGACTAAGAGAAGATAAGATGGCATTGAAATATATGCATTATAAATTTAATCTATTGTTATTTGATTTTAATTATGACATTAAAGTTTTTTACATAATAATAACATATTATGAATTTTTAGGTTTACAATGTAATTTGGGTAAGGGGACCTTATAAAGCTTGGCTCCCACTTTTCAATATGATCCAATTATTATATAATGCATTAGTAAACCTCTTCCACGATCTCATGGTAAAACCTTGTTGGAGAGAAATCATCATATATAAGATCAGAATGCATGACTAATTATAGAACATGTTTAAGGGTTATAGAACATTGACAACCTAACTACCTTGAAATTAATCGAGTTCATGCTACCGCAATTTGCTTTGTGCATTGGAGTAGTTGTGGCCTACACTTGTATAATGATTATACAACTATAGTCAAGTGTCACATGACCCAACATTTATGCACAGGCTCAAGTGAAAATGCAAGCCAAGACAAGCCAAATCTAAGAGTATACGTTCCATTTACAGCTGTCTTACTCGACTAAACCTAAGAGTGCATGAGTGATACTATCTGACTTCGCACAATAATGTGCAAGTCAACATTACATAATCTAGTATAGTGTGCATTATACAATGCATATAGAATAAGTGGCCGACGTTGCCTATCAACCCGAGCACTTACCCATCTTTGTCATCAACCACCTTAACCGTCATTACCCTCCTTGACGATCGAAGCTGCCACCCTGTGTAGTTGGCATAGATGTGGAGCTCGAAGGTTCCACATCAGCTTCCCAGATCATCGGTGAATTGAGTTCAGCTTAAGAGTTTGCATTGCGTTGTAGAAGAATTTGCATCAAGCATCATCATGAGTGCTGAAGCTGTTAAGGATGAGGATTAAAAAGAGTCTTCAACCCAGGAGTTAGGAGAATTGATGGACACCATATCATATGTGTAATGGCTGTCGAGTTTTGAGCACGGTATGTGTAATGCCTCAAACTTAGTAAAGTGGTAAAGATTTGAACTGACACTTGTATGTTACTTGAACTCATATATTATCAGAGTCAATGATCTTGATGAAAAGATACCTGTAGATGGAGCCAGAGTGTCTATCACGCTAAGATTTGATTTTTAGTTTATATTGTTTCTTGACGAGAACTTCAAACTTTAAGTAGGGAAGATCGATTCAGACGTCACATGCATCATTTTTAGATTTGATGGATGATTTCTTTTAAAAGTAATATTTTCTGATGAATTATCTGATCTGGTTGCCTCTATATTAGAGGTGATGGTTATACTCGTGTTTTGAAATGATAAAGCTTTGTTGATTCCGATCATATAAGGAATGCTGTGCACAACACAAGGAAAAGAGCGAAGTGAGAGTAGAAACTATCCAACTAAAGACTGCAGCAAATCGATCCCACCACCTGTTTTGAGAGATTGTCAGAATTCTCTTTTGAGAGCTGTGTTGATGGTGGTAACTCGACGCTTTGATGCAGGAACTGATGTATAATATATATACATTGGGATGAGAATTTTGCACATGATAACATGGATTTAACTTGGTTGTGAATGAACTTGTTGTCTTCTTCATCATTATCAAGTGCTCTAACCAATGTAACTTGTGAAGCAAACACTTGAAGAAACTGCTGCAGGATAGACGTACATGACATCTAATGGTTCTCCATGCTTTTACATCTCCTTAGACTCGTCACAGCTGACATCCATGTCATTCTTCCATAGTAAGGTTCCAGATCTAATGATCTTTCAGACAGTAACCTGAGAGAAATAGCTTCTTTGTTTTTCTTGTCCTTGTACCAAGTTGAAACATACTGTGTGCACTGTGACTCATTTTGCCCCTGAATCTGTCATTAGTGTTTTTTTCCGAAGAAAATGGAAGTTGTTCCCCTTTTACTTTTTCTTTTGTCTTCTAGATGGAATTTCTTGGTGCGCTAGCACTATATCCTTTTCCAACTTGACAAGAAACCGCAATGGATCTCAGACATATTTGGCATCTACCTTGTAAACAATCTACGCATGAACAGGGCACTTTATATAGATATGATTTCAGGGAAGCTACCCGGAAGGTGCTACTAAATGGGTTGACTGACTATTCAACTTCACAGAAAGCACATTCCAGCCAACTATAATATCTCAGATTAAGACTTGAACGTGTTTTTAGCTGGTGAAGTGGTTGTCCATTTGATGGACATGCTCAGAATACTAAATTCCAAGGAGATGAGAACATGCTTCTTCTTTATCTTGTACTGGAAGTAAGCGACTTTGTCTATAAGGTCGATGTTACGCTATCTAGCATGAGTGGTTCTTTGTTGAAGAACGTGATAACAGTTAACAGTCATGAACATGTTCTAGTCCGATCATAAAGCTGGTGCGGTTTTGGATGGCATGAGGAGGATGAAGAGATGGGTCGACTTGAAAAGCTTCGAGTAGCTCTGTGGCGCAGATTCCGTCCGGGGGAGAAGAGGCCGTGAGGTCGTCGCATTGGCCATGTCTGCTTCATGCTTCTCTCTCATCGTTGCATTCATGCTCCAGCAATGAACATCCACACAAGGCGAAGAAGAGCGGATTCGTCGTGCCCACACGCTCGAGGCATGAGCGTCCACGAGGCGAGAGGGAGACGGCCATCCTGCTGCGTGTTGAACTCCGTCTTCTCCCGGACATGACCCCAACGAGCAGATACCCACTTCCAACACACACAGTAATTAGACCGCTGTCATGGCCTACATAAACATGTGGGGGCCACTTTTAGCCGTGGGCCCACATAAAAATCCGGTTCCTTAAATGAACCGGTCCTGCCCGACCACTCCGTCACACGACCACAAACCTACCTCTTAGACGACCGGTGGAGAGAACGGGTCCCACTGAGAAACGGTCCTTTTTCGTTTCTTTTGGGGCAGACGAACAATTTTCGGGTAAGTAGTCTTTCCCAAATTCGACGCAGGAGGTGGAGGGAAGTACGGATCGGAACTAACCAAAACGAAACTACTCCCAACCCAAATCTAAATCCAACTCCTCATCCATTAAGAACAGTTCGAATCCAATCATCATTAGTCTCTTCTTCCTCTATTTATCCATCTCCACGTAATTAATCTGATCCATTAATTACTTAATTACCTGTCCCTCGCCGTTAATTACTTCTTGGATGACCCACCACGCCATAACAAACAACAAGAGATCGATCTCCCGTTCCTTCTTCGACAACTCCACCATCGCCTCCTCCTCCTCCATGGAGCGTTTCCCGGCCGGGGCCGATGTCAACGGCGACTCCCCCGCCGGCAGTCCCAGCAAAGACCCCCCCTTCCTCTGCCGCGCCCGCGCCCTGGACTCCTTGGACGCCGTCAAGCAGCGCGCCTACCGATTCGACGGCCTCGGCAACTACGTCGACAAGGCCTGGGACCTCTCCGAGGCTGCCGCCTGCCCGAAGGAGTTCCACTGGTACCACGTTGAGCTCCCTCGCGGCAATGTCAAGGGCTTCCGCAACCCGCGGCTCGCCGTCTCCACCCAGTGCCTCATCGACGCCCTCTGCCCGCCCCTCAAGTTGCAGGACATCCTCGCCCTCTCCAGCAATGGGCCCTTCTGCGCCCACGTCGACGGCGCGCTCATCTTCCGCATCAACTCCCCCGGCCCCGCCGCCTCCGACTTCACCCTCCGCCTCGCCGCCCGCGTCACCGAGTCCTCCGTCATCACCGTCTCCCTCGGCCGCGTGCCCCGCCTCGGATTCTCCCCCACCGGCCAGTCCCTGCTCTCCGAGATTCCCAAGGTCGAGCGTTGCAGCGGAGACGACGATGGCGCCTCGGACAAGGCGGACGGCGAGTCCGGCAGGGTCGTCATTCCGGTGCACGTCCTCGAGTTCTTGCTCACCATGAACCATTCGGAGGAGGCCGACAACCCGGTGCCCCGGAGCGTGTCCAATCTGCTGGTTCATATAGTCGACACTCATGTGGATCATCTGCAGGACATTGTCACCAGGCTTGAGATGGAATTGGATTCGGTCGAGCTTGAATTGGATAGAGGTATTTGCTGCAACTTATTTCATCTTAGTTGAACTGTAGCTGGTTGTTCTGCAATGAGCTTGATTTTTCTTGCAATTTCTATATTGTTGACCTATTATTATACATTTTAATTGGGAACGCACTGTTGAACACTAAGGCATTAATTCTTTAAGAGCTAAGTAATGTAAAATTTTAGACATAGGTGAAGAAAAAGGTTGGGTTCTTCGCACAGAAGCTAGCTGAGACTTGTTCATTATGTTTGGGGCAAATCATAATGTATGGTTGACCAATCTTGACAGACATTGTTCCCATGCCAAAGAAAATATTAGTTCTAGTGATTTTAGAATGACTCTTCTGCTTTATGAATCTTAAAATGATGTGACAAATGAAATTCATATAGCTTAGGAAAAAGAAAAAATCCCTATGGAAAGTTGGGAGAATTTACAAATTAAGATTATAATTTGTATCAAGCGTATTATCATCATTCTCTCTCTCTCTCTCTCTCTCTCTCTCTCTCTCTCTCTCTCTCTCTCTCTCTAGTTATGGTGCATCTTGGATAGAATTTTGGGGCCTAATACATGGTGAATGATAGCAAATTCATGGTACGTTTGCAGTTTGGGTACTGAAGATGTACATCAAGACATGTATATTCATCTGGTTTGTGGGGTTCATATATGTTGATTTTCAATCATAATGATGATTAGTATATATTATATCATGTAGTCTCACATGATCCGGTTGGTCGAACTAATTCACCTGAAGAGAAGGCTCTTTCAATAATTTGTGACAGTTATAATAGGTTAAGACAATTTAAGATGGTATATCAAATGAAAAATGAGTCCAAGCTTCAAAACCTACTTACCTACAATGGATGCAAAAACTTGTTTTGTCCTTAAATCAGATAATTGCAACATTTAGCTCATCTTAGAGATGTCACAACTTGAATTGATATCAGGCAGTGTCATTTATTTGATATCATTCTGTTCAGGAGCCCCTTTTATTATGCCTGTCTTCTCATATCATGACATTAATTTGACTTCATAGTTTGTTAATGGAATCTGAGTTATTATCTTAAGGATTATAACCTTCTTTGAGGTCTTGGTTTTCAATTGAGATGCTGAATTTTGCAAAGAAAAACAAGTGAACATTACTAGGAAGTATATGCCTTTTGTGAAACCCTATTCTCTTGCACCCTCTGGAGGCCTTTCATGGCTGATTTTTCATGGTCGACTGGTTTGGAATCTCCTAACTTTCACAACTTTATGCAGCTCTTACTTTATTGGATGGCTTCTAAATGGTAGATTACAATCAATTTTGTAATACTTTGTCTTTGTTGCCATTTTGTTTAGCGTGCTTTCAACTAAGTATATCTCTTTCTAGTCACAAAAGCGAGAACATTAGCTTGAAAATTCTCCCTTCTTTTTCACAATTTTTTTTCAGTTGCTATTGACCTATGTGAAAAATTCAACACTTTCATGGGAAAAAAAGATGTAATTTCTGACCTCAGATAGATAATAGTTTGTTAAATTCCTGAACCCTAGCTGTTGGCTACTCCATCATGCTGTCAGAGCATGGTGCAATTGCAAACCATGATAGTGAATTCAGAAAGATATTGCTTAGATTGTATGTATACCAAGCAAATTATTTTTTTCTGCACAATGAAGATATTATCAAGAATAATGAGTTTACTAAGTTATGAAATTGGCTACTATTTTCAAGTGATTGTGGGTAACAAGATCTCCTCGTTTATGGTTTAGGCCATAATATGCCTATTTGACCTTTATCTGCTTTATAACAAACATTATCAAATTCTGAAATTGGTTAACTTTTTAAGTGATTGTTTGCAGCACTCCTTGTTTGTGGTTAGGTAGGCCATAGTATTCCTGTCTGACCTTTATCTACATTATTCAACAAACACGCATTCATTATAATATAAATAATTAAATATAAACAATAATTACTGTACTTTCATGTTGTCATCTAGTGGACATCATATTATTACTTCTCATACATTTTAATAGTATTATCTCTTTTAGTTGGAAGCTGTAGCTTCTGCTCAACTTGGTTTGACATTGTCATACTTCATTTCTCAATGTAGTTGGCCACTTCTCTTTTAAAGTTGACATTTTCAAAACCCTGACATGCATAGCAACCAACAATTACCTTTGTGGTATTAAACTTGTATGATTTGATGAGGAACTATGATTACAAATTGGTGGTCAAATTTCTTTGAACAAGTTATTCATACATGCTTATATACAATACTTGAACATGATTATATATGTCTTGGTTTGTTAAGCTGATTTAAATAAACTGTTTCATCTTAGTTATCAATAGTCTGTTGTTTGAAGACAGAATCCTGAGGTGTATGTGAAAAATATGACCCCAGTTATATAATTCTTCAAGCCTCTTTTATGCCATCAACGAATAATTTGCACAATTTACATTAATATACAACATCTGTACTTGCATGTTACGGTGTCCTTTCTGTTAGATTTAGAAAATAATTTTTCTTTTGCTAAAAGAAAATTAATATCGGGTTAATTTTCTATTTTTGTCTCAATGTGTTGCTTATGCACGGTTTACTTAAGTGCTATGCTGTCACTTCAATTGTAGGGGGTTCCTTACTAAAGAAACAAATGCTGGACGACCGAAGATTCCCAAAGATGCATCTGAACTTGCAACGTCTTCTACAGGTTCCTTAATTTTATTTATGATGAATAATATAGAATTCGTGATGTCATAAAAAATACTACTTAATTTGCTATAGTGACTGTAGTATTTTGTTTGTGATCCATCCGCACTGGTCAAAATTAAAATCCTAAAGTTGCTATTATTTCAGGTAGTTTCTCATGGGGAGCAAGTGTTCCCACGTGTTAAAGAGAAGTGTGCAACCAAGAGTTGGTTTGCAAATGAAGATATCATTGCTCTAGAAGAGCTAATTAGTCGTCTTAGGAGGCTAAAAGAGAACTTGGGATTTATTGTAAATCGTGTCACAGCAGTTCAGGCAGGTCTCGATAGTTGGCAGTCAGAGCAAATAAACAGAAAGCTGTACTATCTTTCTTTTCTCTCAATCATCTTTCTTCCATTGTCTATAGTCACTGGAAGTAAGTATATTTTTCGTTTTGTTTAGTAATTCACTTTGGTCTTTCAATTTTAACAAGACATTATTTGAAGTGGTACATTAACTTTTTTGCATTTCCTGTTGCAGTTTTTGGAATGAATGTAGGAGGTGTACCATGGACTGGACAAAGAGATCCTGAATTACAGGATGGGTTTATTAATGTCATGATCCTGTGCGCCATGGTAGTGTTTCTTCTTCTGTTATGCTTCATCTTCCCATCTCTTTATGCACATATATCTGCTTGGCAAAGAAAACATTCCTTGAAATGGAGTTGGTCTATCAATGGAAAATCATTCTTGCGAAGAAATCCTCCAAATGGCATTCGAAGGATTTCGGCAAACGGATGTTGGAGAAGTGATTACTTGCCCATCTAGAAAGATATTTGAGCCCTTGAGGTACTCTATCTCTATATTAATTATTCTTGCTAGTAAAAAATAATCAAATTATGCTTCGAATTTGAGATTCTAAAAATACCTTGTATGCTGACTAATGCATATTTGATCTTTTTTGCAGTGAATTTTCCATCTCCAGCCTCTTGGAGGTGCTCTCTTAGCACTTCTTCGGCATGAATAACTAGAGAAAGATTCCTTGAATTTATTTGTAAAAATAAAACTGTTCGAGAAGCATAATTCTCAAATCGGAAGCATGGAAAGGGTTCGCGGCTGATGTACAGTTATCAATGGAAACAAAGATCATTATGCTGTAGTCCTTGAGAATTAGTTATTCATTATTGTTCGAGGATCATAGAACACCATCTCCTTCTAATAAAGGTGATCTCATCAGTTCCATCATGGAATGTTTTTGAATTCCCAAAACCATATTCTTTTTAACAAGGAGATGAATTACACATGCAAGAATGGTGGTGTTTATAAAGATGTGTTTCGTGTCTCCCCTGAGAAAACAGATGCTGGAAAGAATATGGATAGGATGTCATATTGCTCACTCTCCATATGCCAACTTATTCCACTTCATACATCAGAAATTGTTGTCATCCTCTATATGGGTACCTTTTATGAGCCATTACAGGTTAGCTCGATCTGAAACTGAACCCCATCCAACATGGGAATATTCTGAGGCTTAGTAGAGAGCTGATTAGAGAAGCAGTGTCGATTAAAATTCCATGATAAGTTTTTCTTGTTTTCTGAAATTTGAGACTCGAAACATCTTAAGGAGATGGTCAGTGTGAACAACAAACAACAATTGGGCATGCCTCCATGTCAAGAACAGCAGGCACCCATTTCAATGTTCTATACAGAAAGAAACACCTTTTTTGTTCCCCTCCGATGTGTCTTCGGTCCAAACCAAAATCAACACTCGCTCCACACACAGAGAGAGGAGGGCTTCAACTTGAGCTGCATGCGTGTATTGTTATAATCATTATCACACTGGACATTTCAAATTGATCTCCTCGATATAATTTATCTAAAAGATTAAAGACTTCAAACTTCATCCGATAAATCAACAAAAATATTTGTTTACCTTGGGAATATCTTGGGATTGAAGCTCGAATTTATCTCCTATCTTTGCAATAAATAAATATATATATATATAATATAAATATAAAGTAATAAATGAGGAATTATTAATATTTCTTCAGGGATATCTATGAAACAACATTCTAATTTCTTTTAGCCAAAATAATTTGGATCATCATTGATATGATGACCTCTTATGTGATAACAAAGCTTTAAGAATAATTTAATCATCAAATCACGTCCGTCCACTCTTTTTCCTATAATGACGAAATTACCCAGAGGCTTCGGCTCCTTTTATCGCCTCCAAACCCTAGCCCTATAAATCCAAGAACATAAACTCCGCTGCACACCTCGAGACCCGGCGCCGCACGGCAGGAAGAGAGATCGCGAGGGGAGTTGTCGCACACTTGGCTGCTCCAACGAGATGAGGGCGAAGGTGAAAATCTTTGATCTGAGTTGTATCTTCTTATCGTCTTCTATATTTCGTTTCGTCGTTACTGTTTTAGGATCCAAACTATTTCTCCTACCCTTCTCTTTTCTTTCGCTTTGTGGTGTCTATGGAGCAGCAATGTTTTCGGAGCTGGTATCAGGTTTTCTTTATGTTTCGTTGTCGCTCAGGATCTTGATCAATGAAGTGGTCCGATTTTCTGATGTTTCTGATCCCGCACTCGGTCTTTTTGAAATATTTTCTTCGTAAAGGTGGCTTCTTTGCATGTTCTTTGAACTCGTACCGATTAGGATTTATTCGGTGTCCTTGTGAACTACATGGCCTCTTATTTGGATTCGTGACGGTTGCTGTCGACATCCGGTAGTGGTATTTGGGGGTATTTCGGATACGATGTGGGCTCTTTTATAATTTGGTCGAAAGTATAATTTGTGTTCGAAAACAAACACCGGAATGTAGAATCTTGATCGTACGATTTGGCAGTGTTCATGGATTGCTTTTGCCTTGATCATATCCGTGTCGCACGCATCTTTTTGGTTCTCATAGGGTTTTATTAGGGAAACAACATGGGGTAGAAAGTTATCCTTGCGAAGCATTGTTTGTGTTTTTTCCTTTGTCTGGCGATACTCGATGCAATATGGGGGTTCATTTACCCATGGTTATCAGAAGTCAATCGAACCAGGCGGTCGGACTAAAAGAAATTGATACTTGTTGAAATATGGGAGTTCATTTACCCATGGTTATTAGGGAAACAACATAGGTTAGAAAGTTATCCTTGTGAAGCATTGTTTGTGTTTTTCCTCTGTCTTGTGATACTTGATGTAATATAGGGGTTCATTTACCCATGGTTATCAGAAGTCAATCGAACCAGGCGGTCGGACTAAAAGAAATTGATACTTGTTGAAATATGGGAGTTCATTTACCCATGGTTATTAGGGAAACAACATAGGTTAGAAAGTTATCCTTGTGAAGCATTGTTTGTGTTTTTCCTGTCTTGCGATACTTGATGTAATATAGGGGTTCATTTACCCATGGTTATCAGAAGTCAATCGAACCGGGCGGTCGGACTAAAAGAAATCGATTAACTAGTCTGATTGGATGTGATGTGCTGAAAAATTTGAATAACCCGATCGACCGAATCAAATCATGATAGTTCCATAAAACTGGTCTCGTTTTGTAATTTAAATTTTTCTTAATCGTTTGTGTAAGAGGATGTTTATGTCGATCATGAAATTATGATCGAGTTAAAAATAAATTAAAACCGATTCTGTTTAGTATATTTATCACCGATGTTTATGTTTATAATGTTGATTGGTATTATTTGTTTATACAACTTTTCCTTTTAATTTGTTTGATATTTTTATTATATATAATTTTAAATCATTTAATATATTTTAAAATACTTTTTAATTAACCAAGTGACCCAAGGCTTCTGGATTAGGTTCTCATAACTATGCATTTACCTATTGTGCAAGGGTTTTTATCTACTCTGTAGAAACAAATAAATAAATTCCACGGTCGAAGTACTAGAATGGTCTAGAAATTCGAGTCTAAAGTAATTTTTTTATTGTAATTCCATCACGGAAGAATTATAAATCTCCAAAATAACAGATAGGAATATTGCAAATAGGGCCATTGCGACCACGGTTAGTGGTGTAGTCCCCCAGCCCGGAGCTACTTAAACTTTTGTACAAGTTTCTGAGTTCATCAATAACTGGAGTATGGGATCTGGTGTTTCTTGAACTACTGATGCTACTTAAATGTTCTCGGTGAAAGTTTGTGATTAGTCCAGATTGACGATTCCATTCTGCTGTATTTTTGTTTGTTCACATAGCTGAGCTACTTTCCATGACTGCAGTGGAAGAAGAAGCGAATGAGGAGACTCAAGAGGAAGCGACGAAAGATGAGGCAGAGATCCAAGTAAGGCGGCTGTCTCTGGGATAGTCTTCACCTGCCCATTATTGACCAGAGATCCAAGGCCTAGTATTTCCCTAATTGCTAATGTTGGCTTAGAAACCATATGTGTGGTTTATTCACTGTTGGGGATGATTAAACATTTCCAGTATGTTATCAATATCTATGGATGTTCTGTTTTTTCTTATGCTGTGTGTGAAATTGTTAGTCATGTCTACTTTCCTGTTATCGATTATAATCTTTTCACCGCGGTGTTATTGGTAGTAAGATTACATTGGTTATATGTATGTGAGTTCAAAAACCAAAAAACCAAGTTGAGTAGTGTCGACAACGGTGAAGCTATTTGATGACATCGAGTAGTTTTGCATTCCATCATTAGTGGGTTGACCGTCGAGAGTTATTTATCTAAAGATTTCGAGAGTGACATACATATCTTGGCAGAGAGTCTTATGTCTTGCTAATCCAAAGGACATTATAGATAGATCCCTTTGCTGAATTTGTGGAAAGCAATCTTGTATCTAACTTTGGTAAGAAAGAGTGCATTCGGTTCAAGAAAATTTCTCTCGTGAAATGAACTGTACATAAAAACAACACTGCATTCATCATCGATGCTAAAATAAAATATACATGTTCCATGAAATGCTAAAAAATAAATGATTAATAAACAGGGATAATAACCAACATTAATTTTTGTACATTGCATGGCAAATCCTTCGAGGTAATACCGAGCAGCCTGCCTACGTAACAATGTATAATTTCGACGATAAGAAAACAAAAACCCACAAAGGATCTCTGATCCCACGTCGCCATTCTATTCCAATAATGAATTATATAGAGTAAAGAAGGCAAAGACTGAAGTATGGCCAAGGAAAGGGTACACTGTCAAAAGATAAAAGAAGAATTTTCCAGCCATAAATATAACTGTAAATGAAACATGCCTCCAAGTTGTAATTAGATGACCAACCTGTTCTACATCGAATCATCTAGTAGTTGAGTTATTCGATGGATTTAGAACGTGCTCATTTATAGCTGAAGCTATTCTAGCATGTCATCTAAACTAGCAAAATGATGATGGATACAACAACAGAATGTTTAGCGACAGACGTATATAATCCATCCATGACAATAGAAAAGAACTAATTAAAAATTCGGTCCTCACTTCAGAAATTATCTTGATTCATCTGTCTCATTGTACTCGGGTGCCGCTCACCATGTATCACTAGCAAAATGATGATGGATAGAACAACAGAATACGTCCATGACAATAATATAGAACCACTTATTAATTCGGTCCTCAGTTCAGAAATTATCTTGATTCGTCTGTCTCATTGTACTAGGGTGCCCCTCACCATGTATCACTAGCAAAATGATGATGGATAGAACAACAGAATGTATCAGTGCAGGGCAGCCACCTGTTTCCCAGCTTCAACAGATCTAAGCACTTCTTCTCCCATCTGCTTGCAGCCGACCAACGTCTGCAAAACAAAGGAACACATAATGCACTGTCAGATGGAACATCAAGTTTTCCACCATAACATACCAGGCTCAAATTTGATTGTAGAAATCATTGAGGCCACTTTTAGTACTTCACTAAAGCACACTTTGACCAGCTTCCAAGACTTGGTTCAACTAAATGAGTATTTAGCTGAGTAACGCATGCTCAGGATTTTGCAGTCACTCCTGTCTTGAAGATATTAATTGCTGGCTAACATATAATGACTAATTGTCCAAGGCAGAAGCCAATCCACATGTATAGGATAAGCTTGCAAGTTGTATTTCTTGTAAATCAATCGTTTAAAAACTCAATCCCAAGTGTTAAAAGAAGCTGTTTTCAGGTTATAGAAAATAAAACTTAAATTAATTGCAAATTCAAATAGATCCATTTACCGTTCCGCCAGAAAAAATATCACCAGTTCGGAACCCTCTGTTCAAGGTATTTATAACTGCAGCTTCGATCCTCTTTGCAGCTTCCTCTTCACCTAGTCCATATCGCAATAGCATCGCAGCGCTCAGTACCGTCGCTAATGGATTCGCTTTGTCCTAAAATTAAGGTAAGGAAGATTCTGTATTAAGATGCACTAAATCTAGAGAGTAGAATATAGAGCGAGATGAGATCGGTTATGAATCTAACCTGGCCAGCGATATCTGGAGCAGAGCCATGGATGGGCTCAAAAAGTCCGGGACCCTAAGAATTGGGGAACAAAAATAATGAAATAAACATTAGTCTACATGAATCCATGTAAGCGTATTAACTTGGAAAACTAAGGAAACTGCAGATTTACGCATACCAAATCACCAATGCTGGCAGATGGAAGCATACCGATGCTTCCAGTAAGCATGGATGCTTCATCGGACAATATGTCACCAAATATGTTATTTGTCACAATAGTATCAAACTGCAAATTATGTTTAAAAATATTAACTGATGGTAAATATCATGTAGCATCATGTGCACTATGAGCTCAAATACCCAAGTTTCATGAAGAAAAGAAAATACCTGTTTTGGGTTTCGAATAAGTTGCATTGCTGCATTGTCCACATACATGTGGGACAACTCAACATCAGGGAACTCAGAAGCCAGCCCATTCACCCTTTTCCTCCATAGCATCGAAGCCTAAAATTCAATAGCATACTAGATTGGAATATAATTCTAATCCAACAAAAACAAAAATTATTCTAATCCAAAACAACCAAATACTGCAACTCTTTATTGAAGTTGTACTTGACTTGAACAGTAATTAAGAATATCATGAACTGGTAAATATCATGAAGTGCTCAAAAAATGTGGTATGAATATGAATGATGTTCCAATGGCTGTTCCAAAATGCACATTTGAGGTATTACTTACAAACTTAAACTGGAAAAACAAAAACAAAAAAAACCTTTTATAAATCTTCAATATTAGTAGCAGTTGTTTAGGTGTAAGGTTAGAGTGGCAATTACAAAATTATTTTGGAACAGATATTATGATTCTTATCGTTAGTATGCAAGTCGCACTTGGAAGTTAACCTATCTATGTATCATGAGTTCCAGCAAGAGTACCTCCAAAACGTTGGCTTTGTCAACAGAGCACAACTTGCCATGTCGTTTTCGAGCAACCTCAAATGCTACTCGTGCAATTCGGTCAATCTGTGGGGGAATTGCTAGAAATAGTCAAAAATATTTGCAAGAAACAAAATGCATATAAACTTAAGAAAAGGCAATCTAAAGATGACACAAGAGCACATGTTTCCTATTAATTATCAAAAGATACACTTTCATGTTGTTTCTACTTATTATCACCTCCTAATTATAGACTTGTTATTAGTGCCTTGGTACTTGCAAAGCATAGTTTTATAACCTACTGTATTCAAGAGGCTGTGACTTAAAATTACAATATGAAGAAAGCATAAGTAGCCTTTTTTGAAAAGAACATACTATATTGTGAATTAACAAATTCTACAGTTCAATCACTAATCATATGTTTGTTGAAAGAAGATAACTAAATACAAGAAAAAAGTTGATATACAGACAACTGAAATCCATCTTGCACAATGTGCACAAGAAAGAAAATGCAAGTCCAGGCACAGACACCAAGTGTCATAACTAAAGGTTCTTTTAAGACAGTTTCTAGAATAAATAGATATTCTAGGCTAAGCTAACTGCAGCATGTTGATAGAACTCTCTGTCATTTAGTAGCTCTTGGTGCATAAACATTCATTTTCTTGCTTCACAATTATCATATATCCAGTTGTATAAGCTTAAATGAGCTTATACTGGAGAAATTTCAAAATCCTCAAACTTCAATACTGTTTTATTTCAAAGTTCAGATTTCTTTTTTTGTTTTTTGCCAGTTTCAGGTCCAGCCAGTAGTCCAACTCACATGCTTTTCAATGGTCAATAACAAGTATAATTTTATCATGTTTAAAAGTTAAAACATGTAAGTTCTTTATGCCCATTTTGTAAAATTTTCATAGCAACCGACCATCAAGCAGATCTTTGCTTTTACATCCTTTGTCCATGTGGAATCTAGAAAATGACAGTTTTGGAAAGAAAATAAAGAAAGCAGGAAATGAGTTTTGTCAGGATGGGAGTAAGTCCCGGGTAAATGAGGACCATGAGGAGTATATTATGTTACCGCTCACCTTCAATAACTGACAGAGAGCCTGTATCAGGCCCCACTTAAGACTAAGTCAACTGCAACTTTTGAGTTTATTAAGATGGCTGAAAGTATATCTAAAACGAATCAGTTTAAGCAGGTCTCCTCGAGACTGATAACTATCTTTTTAAAATTGGTTTCAACTGCTGTAACCAGAGTTCAAACCAGGTTTCTGCCTTGTTTCTCAATAAATTAATGGAGAACTTGCATATCATATAATTTTCATATGGTTAACATATCAAACAATTATTTACATAGTATTTTATCTGGTCTTAATTGGCCTGACTAGAATGTGAATGAGCCTTTCATTTTGATCTATGTATCTGTTTCCATAGTACAATTTGGTGTCTGAAACTGATATTGCCAAAGCTTTATTCATATACATGCAAAATAAGTTGTCCACAATAACACTAAATTTTCTATTACATTTGATGCTGCTTTTGCAAAGTGCTGAAAACCTTGATCTTTCTTTGGTTCATTTAACTAAATAGCCATAAAGGAACCTGTATAATAGAAGGGATTTTTTAATCTTCAATGTTTAGAAGCACGGTAAGGCACAAGAGGCAGTAAGACAATTTTACCCTCACTTCAACTGAGGCCCATAGGCTTTGTGAGGCATATGCTTTAGACACATTTAGTGAGCTTTTCCAAGAAGCCCACACAATGAAAAGGCATGCCCTATGTAATTCCTTATTAAAACTTCATCATTTTTAAGTATTCTCAATTTTGAACATTGAGCTTATGAGTTGTTTTGATTTAATGTTTATGTTCAGATCCCATTATCTTTATAATGCTGGATTTTCAATGATTTCATTTGAGACAAATTTTTTTTATATAATTATACAACTATAATCCTAAATGATGTCCTGAATTTGTTATTATTATTGTCACTTATCCATAAAATCTGCTTCTCTTAATTAATGAAGATTTTTACCTATCTTTCTGCTATTTAAATTTGCAATTAATAAGCAAAAGCAAAGTTTTGATTAAACTCTCCGTAAATGGCACATGCATCTATTTTTTGTTAATCCTTAAGATCAGTTTTTTATATATTTTCATGCTAAAAGAACTGTGAGTTTACAAAGTTATGTGCTCAATGATTCTAATCGCCAAGAAACCTTCGCATATTAAGCCTTAAGCTTTAACAAGGTGTTTGTCATGAGCATTTATTCTTATGTCACAACCTCCAACCCTTTTTTCTCTCTTATCATTCTTCCTTATAGTAACTTGCAATGAGAGTGGCCACAGGATATACCTTATTTCGTTATAACTTTTTTCATTTCTTTCTTTCAGGGGTGGGAAAGGGGTACAAGTGGGAAAAAGCAGTCAAAAAGCAACATTAACCGTCGCAATCTTTGTTAAATTTGCTCAAGTGTACCAGCAAAGTATCGTTACTTTATGAGCAACTAAAATGTTGATGGGATCATGGGACCTTTAAGTACTTTGTCTTTGGTGGGCATATATAATCTTTATGAAAGACATATTTCAAAGAACCTGAACACAAATAATGAAAGTCTTCTTTACAGAGAACAACAAAAGCACATGAGAAAACAGAACAGAGAAATTAATGATGCAAGCTCAGAAAAATCTAGAATAAGACTAGAATAAATAAAAATGAATCAGTTTGATTTTTAGCACCTCAGAAGCAGAATAGACTTCAGTGTTGAATCCAATGTCCTCACCCCTGTCATTGGATCCAAAACCTCTTGGTTTTCCAAAATAAATTCCTAAGAGTGACCAACTTGTTATGGTTTATCTCACATTCTCTAGAATCATGGCACCAAGCCAGTTTTACAATGAAAATTAAAAATAAACCACATTAAACATTCACCTCCAGTAAGCTCTCTCACAACCATTATGTCAACTCCCTCTGCCACCTCTTTCTTCAAAGTTGATGAGTCTACTAGCTGATGAAAAGAACACAATACTGTATGATAAGGGAAGATGAATATTACACATCATCAATAATTCACTATGCTTATTATAAGATCAGATACTTTTAGGACAAGGTAGAAGTGCAAAAATGAATCAGTGCATCTAAGTTAAACAATATATAATCAAGAATACTATCAGAAAAAAAGCAAATAGGAAAAACACAACCATTTGATTTACTAACAAAGCTGCAAGTTATCCACAAGTTTGTCTCAATGTAAGGCAACACAAGATTGAATTAAATAAATTCAGAAGTGATGCAGTGATAGGAAACAAATAAAAGAACGATTTAATTTACTAACAAAGCTGCAAGATATCCACAAGTATGTATGAAAGCCAACACAAGATTGAATTAAATAAATTCAGAAGTGATGTGATGATAGGAAACATATAAAGGGGTAGTACATCAGAAAATATTTAAATAGAAGGTTGAAATACAAAGAAATATCACCTGATCAAACCTAAAATATAATAAACACTTGATAACATTATAAACACTAATAAGAATGTTATCTGCTCTTTGAGAAACATGCAATGCAAGTTGCCCACAAAGTGTAATGATTCGGGAGCAATTTAATTGGTTTATTAATAAAATTAATTTGATTAGTTTATGGATATTTTGCATATGTAATAAGTTGTCACATAACATATACTCAACGAGAAGAAAAACGAAACAAATGCAAAAAAAAATCCGATTAGAACTTTATTTCTTTATTGAAAATTGTAAATCTTGACTGAGATTAATCTCTATAAAGATGAAAGTTTATCAATCAAGAATATCATGAAGAGAGAGTCAATATTATTACTTTTTTAAAGAAAATATATTATATATTTAATTTGATACAATTGTAATCTTTCTTACGTCTGTATTTTCCTTTTTACTCTTGTATTTGGACCTATAAAAAAGGACTAAATTATTATAATGGGAATAATTAGAAGATGAATCAATAAATTGAGTTCTTTCCCACTAAGAGATGTGAGGCTACAATTATCTTTTTGATGGTATGAATTCATCATCCACGTGTGAGACATGCGAAGGTACAAGACATTCATCCTCGAAGTATTTTTCTTGAGTTAGAGTGAGTCTAGTAGTTGTCCCTTTATTTTTCTCTTATCTTTCGACTATTATCTTTCTCTTCCCATTTTTGTAGTCCTCTATCATAAAAATAAAAAAACCACCATTATTCGTCTTATATTAGATTTGGTATCAAAAATCTTAGTTTAGCCAAGATAATTTATAATCAAGGTTGATTTATATCTCCACTATATGAACTTGAGACGAGTTTTTATGCAACAAAAGCATATGATATTGGAGCAATTTAGTTGGTTTATTAATAAAACAAATTTGATTGATTTAGATATATTTTGCATATGGAATAAATTATCACATGACAACATCAACTCAACAATGAGAAAAATGAAGCAAATGCAAAAAAAAAGAAAAAAAGATTAGATCTTTGTTGAAAATTAAAATCTTAACTGAAGATTCGACTCCATAAAGATGAAAGTTTATCAGTCAAGAATATCATCAAGAGAAGGAGATTATTTTTCAAATAAAGTCTGAATTATTATCTTCTTCAAAGGGAACATATTATATATTTAATTTGATACAATTGTAATTTTTTATTTCTGTATTTTCCTTTTTATTCTTATACTTGAACCTATAAAAGGGTTTAGAACATTGATAAGACCTTAAAGTCTTATCATAAAAGAAGGAAGATAAAAGGGGATGATTACTTCGAGAGGATCGACCTTCTAGGATTTGTCTACAGACTGGAATAATATTTCATTGATTGTCCAAAAAAAAGGGTTACATCACTATTTATAGAGTTCCACCTAGAGTCCATCAGGGCTTGGACTCTTAATATTAAATAAACATTAAATAATCCTTTATCCGACTCTAACTGAACTAAACAAACTCAATAAGCATTATTCAAAAGCTAAAAAAATAAAGAGATCCTAATGGATCTTAACAATTCCTCCCCCTTCAAATCAGCCTTGTCCTCAAGGCTGAGCAGCATCAAACTCGGGGAGCTTCTTTTTCAGCACTTTAGTCATAGGCTATCTGCAATGCATCACAACCCGTTGATCAAGTAAGTATGGTCTCCATTTTTTATTGTGTAAGCAATAGGTCGGTCTTTCAGTGTAGTAACCATTGCAAGAAACTCCTGGCCCTGTATAATCAATTTTATCTTTGAACATTTGCTATCACAAGTTAAAATCCGTCCATCAGTGATCTTTACTTCGAATCTGCCACAGCCTTCAATGTGGTGGGTCAATCGGTCAACAGTCTCACTGTCCATAAAATTGTTAGTGCTACCAATATCAATCAAAACTATAATATGTTGATGTTCTAGAGTTCCGCCAACTTTCATAGTTTGCGGGTTAGAGTAGTCGATTAATGCATGCATTGTATGTATGGTAGGTCCAACATCTTTTCATTAGAATCTATACCTTCATGATCGGAGTCCACATTCTTAGCTTCCGGTTCCTCTCTAATTGGTTCCATCATCAGAAGTTGCTCTTGTTTACATCAATGCTTCATACTCCACTTTTCATCATAGTACAAACCCCTTTCTGATCTTTCCTTGAGTTTTTCTTGGGTTAGTCTTCGGGTGTTAGGGTTTCGGTTAGGACTAGATAAAGCGGGTGGCTTGCTGATCATCTGGTTGTTGTCACTTCTGTTTCCATGATTTTCCTTGCTAATTTTTTTCTCATGTAGATGTGCGAATAAGATTGCAGCTATCATAGTGCGGGGTTGACAAGCCTTAACTTCACATCGAATATCTGGATTAAGTCCTTCGATAAATGTACACACGAGTTGTCGTTCAAACCAATCTCTAGCTTGATTTGATAATCTTTCAAACCTGCTCTGTGTTATGATCCCTTTATTTACTGAGCTTTTGAATAATATTTATTGAGTCTGTTTAGTTCAGTTAGAGTCGGATAAATATTTATTTAATGTTTATTTATTATTAAGAGTCCAAGTCTTTGTGGACTCTAGGTGGAACTCTATAAATAGTTATATAACCCTTTCTTTTCAGCAATCAATGAAATATTATTCTAGTCTATGGACAAACCCTAGGAGGCCGATCCCCTCGAAGTGATCATCCCCTTTTATCTTCCTTCTTTTACGATAAGACTTTAGGGTCTTATCATTTGGTATCAGAGCAGCAATCCTCAGCCTTCTCGTTGTAGTTATCTTCATCTTAAAAAAAAAAAGAGAAGAAGAAGCCACAACCATGCACCCCTGATTCCGGCCAGCCCACCCGCCGCCGCTACTCTCTGACCAGCGACCTACTCTGCCCCGCTTCCCGGCCAGAGTCCATCGCCGCCCGTCGCCTCCCACCCGAGACACCACCGCTGCAAGGAGACGACGCTGACAGCGTCCATCCCAACCTTACTGCCGTAGCCCCCTCGTCGATCCCAGCCCTCGATGACCGTTGGTGATGTTGCTCCCAGCCACGCCACCACCATTCCCTCCTTCTCCACCACCGCCCGCCTCCCCTTGGGCCGCAGCCGCTCGACCTCCCCTCCTCGCGACGACCAAAACAGGGCAACCGAGAAAGGGCCGTCGTCGCTATTACCGGCCAACGGACCACCCCCTGGCAGCGGCTAGCCTTGGCGACCCTTTGCTGCTCCTCGCCCTCGACGACCTTGCTCCCAGCCGCACCGCCACTGCTGCCTCTCAACCCCGGCAACAACCTTTCCTTCCGCAGTGCGACAGAAACAGAGCTCCCTCTGTTGTCGTAGCCCCCCTTCGATCCTTGTCGTAACCCTCGTTGCCTCCTTCTCCACCGCCGCCGCTGCTCCCCGGCCACCAACCTCCCCCTCTCCAGCACCGCCGCCCCTGCTTCCGGACAACCCACACCCCTGCTTCCCTTCTTCCCCACCGTCGCTGCAAGGCAACTCCTTCTCCACCGTCGTCGTTACTTCCCGGCCGCTCGACCACCGCCACCACTGCTCCCCAGCTAGCGACCTTCGCCTCCTCGCTGCCCCATCTCGCTCGAGCGAGAAGGGCCACGACCGCTACTTTGTAGCCAGCGGACCACCCCCTCGTCGCTTCTACTGTCGACGATGTTGCCCCCAACCGCGCCACCATCGCTGCCTCCCCTTGGGTCACAGCTGCAGTCGCTCGACCATCCCTCCTTGTGGTGATCAAAACCATGGTATGCAATTTCGAATGGTACCGCCCGGTACGGGCAGTATGTACCGGTCCGACGGTACACCGATACACGGACTGCCCACTACCGGACTATAGCAGTGCTACAGTACACACTGTAACAGTGCTACAGTAAGAGGAAGAAATATATAAAACTGCTTGGTACGTCCTAGTGTATCGCTCGATATGCCCTGGTGTACCGCTCGATACACGATACCGTACTATACCGAGTCAACTTCGAAGCACCGATACGGTACGGTATTGCATACCTTGATCAAAACAAGGCAACCACGACCGTCGCAGCCACCGTCGTTTCCTCAACCGCTCGCGATCTCTCGGCGTCACCAGCGCCTCCTTCCGCAGTGCGACAAAGACAGAGCAACGCTGCCTTCCATCCGTGCCGTCGCAACCACCGCAGCGGCGAGCCCTCGGTGGCACTGCCCCCAGCAGCACCACCATCGCTACCTCCCAGCCCTCAGCAGCAGCGATCCTTCCACGCAACAAGCATCACTGCTCCCACGCAACGATCGCAGCTACATCCTCGCATCCTCGTAGCAACTCTTCATTCCCACAGTGCTGCCACCGACTGCATCACAACAGCAACATCGAATAGGGCAGTGATTGATGCCCTAGTCCCGAAACCAGAAACAGGAGTTGAGATTACAAATTTGCAGTCTTACGCAATAGCCACCAATAACTCAGTGAAAGCACAAATGGAAGCATTGGAAATCAGAATTGAGAACCGGCTACAAGAAACACTTAATGATTTCAAAAAGAGCCTACTGAAGAGCTTCAATAAATTTCAACAAGATGGGGGCTCAAGTTCTACGTTGCACAGATATGAAAATACAGGAAAAGGACCCCAAAATTGTGACACAAACTACTCACACATGAAGGTGAAATTTTCGAGATGGGAATATGGAGATCCGACCAATTGGATCTTTAGGACAGAAATTTTTTTCCGTTTTTATATAACTCCAGAAGAATCCAAGGTGGAAATAGCCTCAATCCAACTAGAGGGAGATGCAATCCAATGGTATGATTAGTATGAAACTTGCCACGGAGTTCCATTATAGGAGCAGTTCAAGAGAGGCTTCTTGTTCGCTTTGGCCCATCAGAATATGAGAACGTTGATGGACAGCTCGCCAAAATTCGTCAGACTTCTACAGTGTTAGAATATCAGAGTGATAAAACCCTAAGGTATTATTGTAAAATAAAGAAGAGAAAGAGGATGATCACTTCGAGGGGATCGACCTCCTAGGGTTTGTCCACAGATTGGAATAATATTTCATTGATTGAAAAAAAGAAACGGTTATTTCACTATTTATAGAGTTCCACATAGAGCCCACCAAGACTTGGTCTCTTAATAATAAATAAACATTAAATAAACATCTATCCGACTCTAACTGAACTAAACAGACTCAATAAACATTATTCAAAAGCTTAGAAAATAAAGAGATCCTCAGGGATCCTAACAAATGATACCAAATGATAAGACCCTAAAGTCTTATCGTAAAAGAAGGAAGATAAAAAGGGATGATCACTTCGAGGGGATTGGCATCCTTGATCACTTCAAGGGGATCGACTTCCTTGATCACTTCGAGGGGATCGACCTCCTAGGGTTTGTCCACAGACTGGAATAATATTTCATTGATTGCCGAAAAAAAAGGATTACATTACTATTTGTAGAGTTCCACCTAGAGTCCACCAAGACTTGGACTCTTAATAATAAATAAACATTAAATAAACCTCTATCCGACTCTAACTGAACTAAACAGACTCAATAAACATTATTCAAAAGCTTAGAAAATAAAGGGATCCTAACAAACATTATAATGAGAATAATTAAAAGATTAATGAATTGAATTTTTTTCCCACCTTGTGTATGAGTGGTACGAGATCACAATTATATTTCTAATGGTATAATTTCATCGTCAGCGTGCAAGACGTGCGGAGATACGATGCCTTTATCCTAGGAGTATTCCGCTTGAACCAGAACAAGTGTAGTAGTTATCTCTTTATTTTTTTATTATCTTTCTCTTCCCATCTTTCTAGTCCTCTATCATCAAAAAAAAAAACCCTGCCATTATTCATCCTACATCAGATAACCTGACCAAGTTGAGAAGACATGCAATAGAAAATATTCTCTATAATAATTCAGACCAAATTAGGCAAGCCTGTCTTCTCAAAATTGTATGTTGAAAAGATCTTCAAGGCATATTAGACTCATTTGTGCAATCCACCATTGAAGTGCCATTTGGATGAAAAGACAATTGACATAGAATACTGGAACCAATTAAACACACCACCTAATTGAACTTCACAAAGAAAAATTCAGTGCAATCATGAGAAATTTAACATAATGGACAGTTGATTCACATTCATATCCTAAACAGTCAAATACGTAAAAGCCACATGATAATATGTGCTCTTTTTTTATGGCCGACAACCAGAGTTAACTGTGTTCCATCCCATGGATCCGCTTGGTCCTTATTTTTGAACAGAAGTAGCAGTAGGACATATTCTCATAAACCTTGTTAATTACCAGACAGCATATAGACCTTGCAAAAACAGAAGATAAACTATAGGAATTGCTCTTTCCAAGTCAGGCCACCTTAAGATGAAAATGGAACATGATGAACCAAAAATTCCACTTTTACTCTTAGAAAATTTAATTACAACGTCGTCTAAACGTGTATAAAGCCACGGTACCTGTGGCAACACAGTAGCTGGCCTCAAGTTTGCAAACACGCCGAGACCCGCGCGAAGTTGAAGTAACCCAGTTTCGGGCTTCAGATGCTTCTCGTTAGCATCCCATTTATACCTAGAAGGAACCACCATAAAATGGTGTTAGCCCCCGAAACCGAAGTCCAAGCCTAAAAAAATTCGGCCCATCAGCAAATACCCTCCGATGGCTCCCAAAAGGACCGCGTCCGACTCCTTGGCGGCTGCGAGGGTCTCATCCGGTAAAGGGACCCCCGTAGAATCCAGCGCCGCACCGCCGACCGGCACCTCCCGGAACCGGAACTCAATACCTGCAGAGAAAAAGCACAAGGAAGCCAACCTTCTGAGCCCTTAGATCGCACAAACCCTAAACCCTAGGAAAAGGAAGGATATTTTGTCAGGGTCCAATGCCTTGGAGAGAGCCAACGAGGGAAAGGACGTCCTTGGCGACGGAGACGACCTCAGGGCCGATGCCGTCCCCGGGGAGGAGGGTAATGCTGTAGCTCCGTCGGGGCGAGGCGGCGGCTGAGCAGCGGATTCTCGCCGACCGCCAAGGATGGACCAGTCTCCGCGAGCCTAGGATTAGGGTCTCGAAGGGCCGGGAAAGGTTCGCCTGCACAGCCGCCGCCATACTCAGTGCCTGTGGACTTCGAGACCCGATGACGCAAAAGAGATCCCATTCTCAGGTATGCGAATTTTATCTGAACGGAAAATATTATATATATATATATATATGATTTATACAAAAATTGAAGATGTTGAAATTAAAAATTTGAGATAGGTCTTTTCGGTAATGATCAAGTTCATTTGATTTATTTATATAATTATTTATATAATTATATAAGTCAACTTAAATGGTTGATCGAAGGAGATCAGAACACCTCTTATTATCATAGTATTATTGTCCTTAATAGACGTATCGATCGTATTCATTGGTATTTAAAGTGGATTAGGAGATTGTCGCTGATGTGTATAAAATTTTAGATACCTGTGTGACTTTTTATAAAACTAAAAAACTAAAAAAATTTAGATCAATTTTAAAATTAATGATAACTAAAAATATCTTCTCATTATAAATAAATTTATATCGGATCTAATGTACACTAATTGATATCTTGTTTGTTTTTCGTTCTCCAATAAGAAATTATGTACAACTATTACTAATATCCAGTACTATTTTATTCCATAATAGTAATTTTAATAATGGCTTTACAAAGAAATAATCCAAGTTTCAGCTAATCAATCATATTTATCCCATTCGCCTCGGGACAGATAATAATGCTGCCTATTCCCTTGCAATGCATGCTAAACTTACAAGTAGGGTGTGGAAGTCTCCACGGCCTCATTCCCATCTTCTATACCTGGGTACATTCCAAATCTAGAACACTTTCCAAACTCTCAGCAACTTTACTAACGACTGATCTCAACGCACCCCAGCCATTATCTTTGCAAGTAACATTCAAATTAATTGTTAGAACATCTAAAGAAGGAGAGAGTCTTGATTCTCAAGATACAACAGATTTTCAAAATATATATATATATGTTGGATAAATTCCTATATGTGAATCTGACGATCAATTTCGGTACTACTAATAACATTCTAATACCTTTGTGGATGAGAAGAGCACAATGCCTGAGATAGATATGGATTCTAACAGTGAAGAAACCAATCATATAAATATAAGAAGCTCGCTAAATTATCTGTCTCGCACCTTAATGAGGATAGGATGATGATGGCAACCAAGGCAAGGCGGAGCACTGAAATTAAAAGACAATTCTTCTTCTCTTCTTTTTCGGTGAAGGAAGCAAGACAGACGAGCAAATTGATAATCTATTTGAACATTTAGGTAACCTCAGAAATCAGCATAAACTGCACACAAGTAATTTCCAAAGAGGCCAACAGCAAATTGCCATGAAATTAACAGACCAATGTCAACGACTGAAATTTTTATCCTGCTTCAATCGAAGAAATTACCGTCCAAACTAAAACAGTCATTAGACTTCATATCAGCAAACAGCAACTGTGTCATTACAGGCGCATTTGCCACCGAAGCCGTGGACAAGGATTTAAACAGTCGATGATGCAGAGTCAAGGTACTTGACTGCTATCTTAATTCATTTGATGTTTCCGTTGCACAGGTGAACCGTTCCGTTGCTGTAGATCTCCTTGCGTTTCAGATTCACCCTGTTTAATCCCCAAATACGGATCGTGTGGTCGTCACTGGCGGATGCAAGCATGTGAGGATTCGATGGGTTCCAGCTGACACAGTTGACGGTGCCAGAATGACCAGGAAGAGTTTGAATAAGATCTCCTGAACTTCGATGCCATATGTACACCTGATAATAGGGATCTCACCAAAATCAATAAGACAAGTTATCGAGGTTCAACACTAAAAATATCTGTATTTCTTGAGGAAAGAGGACCAATACCTTGCGATGACATTTACTTGTAGCAAGTTGAAATTTGTTGTGTGTATAGTTTAAGAATTTCAAACATATTTTCCTAACCCAGATTGAGGTTTTTTGCAAGCATAGAAGAGTAAACTATAAGTTGACTAGCGGAAAATATAACTGTTCCTAAAAGAAACAAATTTGATTTATTCATGTTCTTGCATATCTGGTCCCTTAGGTTTAGCTGAAAAATGAATAGTTATTCATAAAGAGGATGATCTACTTTTATAAAATATTGCTGAAGATATCAATGTTCAATATTATGAATTCAAAAGCACATATGAAAAGGAGAAACAACAGACATTATTGCTTGAATTGTCCAAATCATTAATATTTCATGATGGCCTAAATTAGACAGTAGAGATGATTATTATTTTTCTAAGCAGTCATTTACCAAGCTATCGACTAAAAAATAGTTAACAGACAATTTGCACAAAAAGTTGGTGCAGCTAAGATACAAATGTTTAGATAGACATATGGAAATATTGGGAAAGACAGCAAAAATACTAAACTTTCCATTTGTGAACAGTTGTGTTAACCTGATAAGTGATATAATTATTGAGAATCATCTAAGACAATATGAGAATATTTAAAGAAAACTTATAACTGTGACTAAATGAGGTAAATCTATTAATTCTAGTGCTGCGAGAAAAGTCAGCAAATTTATAAAGCTTAACTAAAAAAAATAAAAGGCTAAATGCTCTTTGATTTAAATAGAGGTATTACTTTATATAAAGGACATTATGGTTTGTCGTTGTACAAAACATGCAGCTTAAAAGTCACCTGTTATAACTACTTCTGTATTTTCCAATGGTAAACAGAAAAAGAAAAAACATCAAGAACAATCTCAAGCAAATAACAGGTATTTAGAATATCAAGACAGGAACATGTTTAAATCCCTTGCACCCAGGAATGCAGATCATCTGGCCAGGTGATAAGAGGCATTAGCATTGGTCCAAAGCCTCACATGAAATAAAAGGTCAAACATGAGAGGCAGACATCGAAGAAACGACATCGATATGAAGTCTCAAATGAATTGCATGGTAATAATATGACAGGCTAGTACATACAATTATTTCTCAGCCTATGCAGCATGAGCTGATAGATCATATGCCTTGCCAGCTTCGCACAACCCAAAAGACTGTTATCAATAGAACATCAATTTCCAGATTCCTTAATTGTTTGATCATAGATTTTTGTATCAATACATACTAAACAATAGTGACACTAGTCATTTATCAGACATTTTAAGACATGCCAGCATCAAGACAACAGCAACTTTTTCTGACTGCATTACACATAACATGATCACAAATCTCCTAGGTTCAGAACTTCCTCTAATTGTCACATTGGACAATAGCAGCCAAAAAGAACTGGTCACAAGTCATCAAAGCCTGTGGATTTTCTTTTCCAAAACTCTCATGCGGTGCGTCCACAAAGTGAAAATTTAATTTACAAAATCGAAGTATTGTGTATATTTAACTTCCTAAGGAACAAATTGAGCAGAGCAAAAAGCATCAATAAAGATTCTCAAGCAATTAAGCAATTTTGAAACTTATTAAAGCATACAGTAAGAGTAGGAAGAATGTATTTGCAAAGCAACTCTATCAACATCCACAGCTGCAAGTTCAAGGTAATAGATGTATACAGTTCATAATGTCTTTAGTGGCAGTTGCATACCTGTGAATCTTCACTTCCACTGGCAATGAAAGCCTGCTCAGTTCCTCCAAAACAAGACCTTATTAAAAACCGACTGCGCTTGTGACCTTTATATCTGGTAACTAGTTTTGGATCATCCTTTATGTTCCACAAATGAATCTCCTGGTTTATCAGATTTACAAGCAAAAACTTATCATCCTTTGATAGTGAGAATGAAGTAATTGTCTGTTCCTCTTCTATCAGCCTCTCAGTCTTTGTTTCCCTATCTAGCAACAAAATCACAGTTTCTCGGCACAAACTTATCATATGTCTACCATCTTTTGTGACAGCAACATCAGAAGTTTTACTTGTTCGCTGCCCTTTCCAAGAATCCAGCTCCTTTCCATCCAAATCCCAGAAGCAAATAGTCCTATCTGTAACACCAGAAAAGAGTTCTTTTCCATCCGGAAACCAGCCACAGGATATCAATCCAACACCATTTTTTTCATATACATGGAGGCATTCACCAGAGTGAACGTCCCAGCGCCTAACAACTTCTTCCATTCCACAAGTTAGAAGCTGGCTGTCATCAGGGCTCCAAGCAACCATTAGAACAGGCTTCAGATGACCAGATAGCTTGTGCTTCAGTGTTAGTTCTCCATCTTCACGAACCTAATGCAATATATAACATGTACTTCAGAAAAGAAAAGTTAACGTCTACTACAGCAAAACCAATATTACTCTTACCGCGTTAAACGGATAGTGTTTACCTTTATCACATTACATAGTTGCATTACATTGATCAGAAATATTGTAATGTTGCAAAGCATGAAAATACATTTTAGACATTAGTGGGTCACTAAGATACAATCAAAACAAATGCAAGTCATGACAAATAATATCTATCAGACCATCTATAAAGACAAGTAAATACTGCAATGTGTAAATAAAGATTTCCCAAGATGCCTCAACTTTTCTACGTCATGGTCTCATGTTCCCTGCAACAGCTAAAATCAAATCAAGCTCGTTTACAATTTTACTAGATGCTCTATCGAGTATAACATGATATGATACCAACAGCACCAATAATGATATGCCAATTGTACCTTGTAATGGCCATCTTAATGTATTATCTAACAAATGAGGGAAAATTATCTTGAATCATTTTCCATACTCAAGGAAAATAAGACTTGGAAGGTCCAGTTATCACAGAGACAAAAAGATATTTCTCCAATAAAAGCTTCATTCATTATTCATTCAACATGATGATTCCCACTTTGGATATATCTGTGTGTATATTAAAACAAAAGATCAATCAGTTAAATGCAAAATGTCATATTCACTGCTGAGCATATGAAGCATCCAAAAAAGTAAACCTCAACAGTCATTGATGTCAAACAAGCGTGCTAAAATGGAGGAACTAAACCAATTAAATCAAATTACAAGAAACTTTACCTCCCATATAATTGCAGATCTATCAATTGACGATGATGCCAAATATTTTCCTTGGTTTGAGAACTGCAAAAACCATACTTCATCATGGTGTTCTCGCAATACCTGTAAAAATTCAGTAAGAATAGTTCAGAAGTACACAAAACAGTTACATTCACTTATTAATTGTCTATCAAAAACACATTACTAGAAATGCTTCAATGATTTGGAACCCCACTACAAACCCATCCCAAACCAAAGGCCAAAAATGTAAAATAATTAGGGCCTGATCAAGTATTTAGAAAGTTCATATTGACTAGGACCTCCTTTACAAATATCATATATCTAGTATCAAGGAATGTTGTTTTGGGTACTAGATCCATATCAGTCCCTTGTTGGACCAAAATATGCATCGACATGTAGCGACACACGATACACCAATTGTTATTTCGAATGCGAAAAAAAGAGGAAAGAACATATGGCGATGGAGGAAGAGAAGGAAGGAAGAGGAAAGAAGAGGCAACGGGGGAAAAGGAGAGAAGGCAGTAGGGAAGAGGAGGAAGGTGTTAGACGAAGGAAGAAGAGGAGACAACAGAGGAGGAGGAAGGATGAAGAGGAAGAGGAAGAAGCATACTGCATGCAATGGGTGGCAATGAGATAAGGCAATGGTGAACGGTCACGGCAGGGAGGTATGCGATGTCGATCAGTAGCAACGATTCCACACTCCTTGCGCACAAAGAAGAGGGGTCGTGTTCACGAGCCCTAATCGGCGAGAAAATTTATTTTTTATTATTTTTTATTTTCTAATGAGTTGGACCATACTATCCGAAACGGGGGCAGTCCATGTACCGATTCACATCCTGATTGGTATGTACCGCCTTTTCGTATCAATCCGATGAAACATCACTCCTTGTCCGATATCCATATTTAATGATAGTTGACAAATTCTGCTTGCTTTGGATATATTAAAATTGTGAAAATAACTGGATGCATAGATTACAAACCTAACTTGATGCATTGCGATGGTAAATCCATGTAGAGCACTATATAAAAAAGTTCAAAATGAATAGTCACATAATTCTAAGTTCCAAGTAGTATCAGATGGAATCCTACAAGATTTGATTCAAGACATCCCTGCAATTCAAGATATTCAATATATATGCTTTGACGGGCGCCCAGCGTTAGGCAAGATTTATCATACAACAAAAAAATGGTCACAAATCATTACAATTTTATAATGGCTGGAGAATCATATTGAATCTAAGTATGCTTTCAATATAATTAAATTTCACAAACATATTTTAGTTCCTCCTCTCTGGCTCATCTCTCTTTTAGTCATATTCCTTTGGTTGTTACCCTTATTTTATGATAATGTTAACCTAAAATGGAAACAATATCTTCAACTCCTTACAAGTGAGAAGAGAAGAGAGCAGAGTGATGAAAAGCAAAAGAAATCTTGTCTCTAACAATGCAATAGCTTATTGTAATTACATGAAGTTTCCAAGCAGCCAAAGTTCTTTCCTCATTAGAGGATAAAAAAGGATTCCCTTGGTGAGATACAATGAGGTTGGAACCTAGATGACAGAAAAAACAGCATCGAAGAACAGATAATCAAGTAAACTAATTACCTAGCTTCTCTATTGCTAAAATATCTTAAACTATTTTCCTGCAGATGCCTCAGAAAACAGAAAAACAATACAAATGAGGAATAGTTCTCCTATTGTATGCTTTAAAAATGAAACTTACAACACCTCTAATGGGAAATGCCGAGTTTTACAATATTTTAGTAATAGCACAGTTCACTGTTATCATGTAAAGTGTTAAGAAGTTAAAGACGTTGTAAGAATTAGAAACTATGCTGGGAACAGATAACATAGCTCGCAAGCTGCAAATCTATCGACCATAAAGTCATTCACTGCAGAGGAGATAGGCTTAAGCAAGAAAGAAAGCATTTCTATTTTGAGGATATAGCACATTAGGTATCATTTTCATGTCAGCTCTTTCAATATATGATGGTTTACTATGAATCGTTGGAATCTTGCAGTATTCATGTCAACCTTTCAGAAACACCTTGACAAAAATTGAAAAGGCCAAACTTCATTCTTCTGAAATTTTAATGCTAGTAATATGTATGAAAACTATGTTGATCACTACAACACATATTGCAACTGTATATGCATGTACAACTACAAATGTTCTTCCAGAAATCCTTGTGGTAGATAAGTTCACATATAATCCACCCTCCAAGATATTTGACCTTGGCAGGCTTTTCTGAAAAATGAATGGATTTTCTACTTTGCATGAATCATGACCATGACCAAGGGTTTAAATGTCTGCCTACTTATGGTTTTGGCAACCAGTTGGAAAGGTGCAGTACTGGTACACCGATCTGCACCACTTGGTATCACAAAAAAATAATAAAAATTAAGCACTGGCCTATATTATTTGATACCCAACTTTGGTTGGACCAGTAACTGCCAATCGGTATTGGTCCAACCAGAATTTATAACCTTGATCATGATGCTATTGTTACTACTGATTTCCACTCTTGGATCAAACTCTAAATATTGCACCTTTTTCACAAGTTACATCATCTCATTCTCCACCTATCTTTGACTATCCTCCATGCTCTGTGTTCCCATTTAACAAAAATCAGTATTCTGTTGTAGCATACTTGTGTTAGTCAAAGAAAACATCCAATTGGAATCATTCAATATTCTCTTCTTGAAAATGATTCAAAGTACCAACACCCACACTCATTTCCAGGAATCATCTTCTTTGCCATCCAAAAGTGAGTGTATAGATTGTGCATTAAAATTTTCAGTACATGAATGCAAACATAACTTTCTCAAAGAAGTTTCAAACAACTATATCTGTTGAAAATGGCATTTGAACAAATGTGCAAGAAGAAACAAGTGGACATGGAGATTAGCATGCTTATGTGCGAGAGAGTTTAAGAAAAATCACTAAAACATTATTTCCAACCTGAGTTGTATGAGAAGGTAGCTGGTCCTTTCCACACTGATGATCAGTGTACAATGAAAAACAGCTTTCATGGGAGTTGTGAAAGTAGCAAGCTTCTCTTTGGACTCTAAGTGCCTGTTCAACCAAGTGCTCCAGTCTCCTTTCAGGTATCATGATCGATGGAGGAAGCAGTTTCTGCAATTCCTCTAAAAGCCTCATTCGTGCATTTGAAGTTTCTATTTCCAAACTAGCAAACCCAAGTAACATATGCTGTGAAGGAGATATGACACAACAGGAAAGCTCATGCACTCGCTTTTTGTTAATGCTAAGTGGAGTGATATCACTTCTCAATGTGTCCAATGCTTCCATTACCCTATTCTTTCCCAAAAGTTCTAAGAACTTTTGCTCCAAAATTAAAAAGGATGCAGACTTCAGAATATTTTCATCAACAAGACCTATTTTTTGCAGTGCAATCACACTTTCATCCCAATTCCCTTCAAGAACTTGCTTCCGGAAGATATCGACTGCAGAAGAGTGCAAGGGTATTCCTGACTCTTCCTCCAGAACTGCTCCACTTCTCTCATAACCAAGAGAATAAAGAGCCTTGGTAATAATTCGCACAAATTCTACTTTCTTAATAACTCCTTTAGAACCGACCATGTCTTCTCTCCCTTGGGATGGTAAAGGCCTGGCCATTAGGCCTCCCAAAGGATTGATGAACTCAGAAAGAGACGAAGTATTTGAGAGGTTCTCCAATTCTAGTGAGGATGTTTTGACACGTTTTGAGGGTGGTTCATTGTCTTCTACACCTCCCATGAAATGCCAGAATCAGCCCATATATATCTAAGTGAACAAGATATAAGCTGCAAACAACATAGATTCCAATGTTCTGGAAAGCTAGAGAAACTGATATGAAAAAGAATTCCTGCATCGAAAAAAGGAAAGAAAGGTTATCCCGAAACTTATGCAACTAGTTCATCAAAATCATTACCAAATGCATAAACCTAAAAATTAACAAAGTAAGAGAAAAGGAAAAGAAGTTATATAAAAATCAGGAAGCCCTAGATAAACAAATTTATAAAATTTCACAAAGACAGCAAATGCACAACAGCAATTGAGGGTATTCTTATCCTTAGGGTCACCAACATGACAACAGAAAAGGATCAAGCTTGGGATCATCCCATGTTGTGGTCCAGTCAGATTATTTATTTCTCTCATTAGCAAGTTCTCTAAGAAGCTAGAACCTTCTTGGTTGTGTTTGAGTATATACAATGAATGAAAGCTTTTCTGTCATTAACCCCATTAAAGAGACAGAACAAGCAACTATAGAACTACAGAGATGGAGCACACAGCAGTGAACTGGAGATCAAGCAGAGCTTTAAAGTATGTTCTATTTACCTCTTTTTCATGCAGGAGCAGAAGACAGGGACGAAGTGACTAACTTTTTTGCTCCGTTTTACAGTTTGAATGAGATAAACATGTAGAATTACAGAATGTAGGTTCCACACAGTATTAGACAATGACTGAAGCTATAGAGAGACAGGTCAAAAACAGAAGAGCAATCCTTTACAATCTCCAGATCCACTAGAATAATTATGCAGCAAGAAGTTCAACTGACCACACACATTGAACAGATGAGGGTAGCAGTGATCAGATGATCCATTTATGGTTCAGAAAATTACATTTGAGTTATCTAGAAGTCGTCTTTTTTGCATCAGAACAAAGAACACACAATCATCCAAAGAAACAAAGGGAATCTAAAGATGTTCCCATAAAATGAGCAGCTTAGCCACAATCTCTCAGATAAAACGATCATTTTGCTCCTAAGATTTACCACGGCAAGAAATAGGCACCTTCTCCTCCCAAAAACATCATCTACACAACAAAGCAGAAACGAATCCACAGTTGCCAGGGCATATTCCATACCTACAGCTAGGGAACTCCCCCAAGGCATCAACTTTCCTTCCTCCGTCGGAATTCCAACAATCAACAGGAAAGGTTTCAAGAACTACGACAATCTAAGCATCCAGAATCAAGAAAAAACACCCGGTGCATCAAAACACCAGCACAACAATACAACAAAGGGAAAAATAATAGATCAATAGGAGAATCGCACCCTTCAACTCTACTACGAAATCAAGTGCTCGAGGATCTAGGACCTAATCAGGAACAGCAGAAATCGGTGGAGAAACCCTCAATCAAGCACCGACTTAGAGGCCCAAACAGGGGAAATCCCTCGATCCCAAGCGGCGATCGGGGTATGAAACTCGATTCCAGCCCCAAATCCTGAAATCCCAACGATAAACCCCTCACACCAAGCGATTGGGTTGGATTCTGCCACCACCCGCAGGGCAACCGCAAGGAATTGGTTCCAAATGGGTCAGCGGTTAAACCACAGAAGCAAGCAAGGAGAGAGAGAGAGATTAGAGAAAAGGAAACGAGATATAGGAGCAGACAATAACGGTATTTATAGGGTAGGAGGAAGGAAGGGGATGAGGAAGAGGAAGGGGGAAGAGGAGGTGTGTTAGGCTTTGGTGAGCAAAATATTTTCTTATAGGTGATGAAGTGTTTGTTTTGATCAAAATGCAAATAAATACTACATCACATTTTAAATTTATCAAAATATCTTAAAATTTTATAGGTATCTTTGAATTTGATCAGTGCCTTTCCATTTTTATAAATTTATTCCATATTTTTTAAAAAAAATATTCAGCCCATGTACATTATGTCATTTTCTTTTTTTAATTTTTTTTATTTTTTATAAAAATATCATGCACTCATGGTTTTTTTTTTTTTTGACATTTGAGCTTCTAATTAGATCTCACACACCTAGAAAAACTTTGGCCATCAAAAATGTTTTACTAATATACAATGTATTATTTTTGTTATCAAAATTCATAAATAATTCATCGAATAGTAAAACTTGTCAAAATAATCTAAAAGTTTTTCGATATCTTTTAATGAGATCCGAATGAACATATATCAGTGTTTTGCTATTTTAAAGTTTTTTATATTTTTTTTTTAAATTTAGTTCATGTATAGTGTGCCATTTTCTAATTTTTTAAAACTTTTTAATTTTTTACAATATAATTTTGGCCATCAAACTTTTTATCAAAATATCTTATAATTTTATAAATATCTTTGAATTTGATCCAGATGAACTCATTTTAGAGAATTTGGTCGATATTTTTTAGAATTATTCGGCTCATGCATATTGTGTCATTTTCTTTTTTTAATTTTTTTTCAAATGTTTGTAAAAATATCGTGCACTCATGCGAGTTTTTTTTACATTTGACCTTCTAATTGGATCCCACATGTCTAGTAAAAATTTGGCCATTAAAAAAGTTTTCTTAATATACAGTACACTATTTTTGACCAAAATCTAGAATCAATGCATCACATAATAGGACTTGTCAAAATGCACCGAAAGTTTTTGTATATCTTTTAAAGGGATTAGATGGACATATGTTAATATTTTTCTATTTTAAGAAATTTATTCTATATTTTTTCAGAGTTTCTTAGTTCTTGCATAGTGTCATTTTTTAAATTTTTAAAAGATTTTTAAAAATTTTCATAAAAATATCATGTACTAATGCAATGATTTTTTACATTTAAGCTTCTAATAAGATCATAATCACCTACTTAAAATTTAGCCTTTTCAAAATATTTTCTTATATGAGATGTACTACAACTTTTCAAAAATGTCTTTAAATTTGGGAGATATCTTTGAATTTGTTTCATATGGACATATGTCAATGTCTTTTTATTTTTAGAAAATTTATTCAATATTTTTTAAAGTTATTCGTCTCATGCATATTATGTCATTTTATGTTTTTCAAATTTTTATAAAAATATCATGCACTCATGCAATTTTTTTTTTTTTGACTTTAACCTTCCAATCGTTGAATCTCATATTTTGATGATGAAACTAATTGATAATGCTTATTTGATCTACATTTTGAGTGACGTAGAAAGCTTGGAGGGTAAGGCATGAAGAATCATGTTGGGCCGGAATGGAACATATCATAAGATTGGACGTCTAGTCGGAGGATTGGTCGACGTATCAACAGAAGGCTTTGGGTCATGAGTTCGGGCATCGGGCTAGGAAGAGTGGAAATTGTACCAAGGAAATCAGAGTTGTGGAGGTCAACTGGCTAATTGGGCAATAGGCTGCAAGAGAGGACGATGCACCGAAGAATCAGATGAAGCATCGATGAACTAATGACATGCCGGACAACATTTGATTTAAGTTATATAATAATTCTCTAGATCGAAGTAGGTTTTAAGTTTGCAGGATTCACTATGAAAGCGATCAAGGCATAAAGCAAAATGAAGTCCCGGAGTCAAGAATGAGATTTCATTGGGAGTTCGAGAGTTTATTAGAAGTTCTGTCGGAATTGACCGAGAAGTCTAAGAATTTGCCAAAGAAGCTTGTCGGAACTCGCCAAGAAGATCGTCGTGAAGTCCAGGAGCTTATTAGGAGTCCGTTGGAACATTGTCGAGAGATCGTAGGAATTTGCCGAGACTGTGTAAAAGGTTGTCTTCTAAACCTGTGAAAAGGGAAAGAGGGGTGTAAGAAGGTGGTTAGTCTTCGCCTATCGAAGGAAGATCGTTAATGGATACCGGTGGCCTCGACGGAAGTAAAATCAGTGGAGTGGATGTAGGTCACGACGACCGAACCACTATAAAAATCTGGTTTACATTTCTTTTGAGCAATTTACTTTTACTATAAACCACTTTACTTTCACTACGCTTCTATATGCTTTCAAGTTAAACTCACATTTCCGAAATCAGTTTTTATCGTACGAAGTTTTTCAAATTGACGTGTTTTATCCGCTACACTAATTTACCTCCTCTCTTAATGTTGACTCGTTCCTAACAGTTAGTATCAGAGCCACGTTATTTCTCACTTAGTTTAACACCCAAGAGAAATGACTCTTTTCGGCTTTTAAGATGGTCACTCTCTCATTCGTCCTCCCATGTTCAATGGGATGGACTAGGAAAACTCGAATAAGAGTTTCTTGCTTTCTATGGATTTGAATTTATGAAATCTTATTGAAAACTGTTTTAAAAAGTCTTCTACTCCAATGAAAGAATGGAATGATTTGGAGACGAAAACTTTTTCTTTAAATGCTAGAGCTATAAATGCTCTATTTCGCGCCTTAGACAAAAATGAATTCAATCAAGTTTCTACTTGTGAAATGACTTTTGACATTTGGTATATACTCGAAATCACACACGAAGGCGCAAGTAGGGTAAAAGATTCTAAAGTTAATCTTTTGATGCATGATTTTGAGTTATTTCGTATGAAGCCAAGCGAGACTATTGGAGATATATACACTCGTTTTACGAATATCGTCAATAGTCTAAAAGCTATTAGTAAATATTTTTTAAATTTTGAACTTGTTAATAAAATTTTATGATCTCTTTCTAAAATTTGGGATTCGAAAGTAACGACAATACAAGAATAAAAAATTTTGAACCATTTTCCTATTGAAGAACTGATTGGGTCGTTGATGACCTATGAAATGAGCTGAACGGAACTTAATGAATATGAGAACAACCTTTCAAAGAATAGGAAAGATTTGATACTTAGAACAAAACTATCATAGTTAATCATGCACATTTAAAACCTACTTCGATCTAGACAATTATTACAAAGCTTGAATCAAATGTTGTTCGGCATGTCATTGGTTCATCAACGCTTCGTCCGATTCTTCGGCGCATCATTCTCTCTTGCGGCCTATTGCCCAATCGGCCAATTGATCTTCGTAACTCCAATTTCCTTAGCGCAATTTTCGCTCTTCTTGGCCCGATGCCCGAACCCATGACCCGAAGCTTTATGCCGATACGTCGATCGGTCCTCCAGCTCAACGTCTAATCTTCTAATATATTCCACTTCGGCCTAACATGATTCTTCCTACTATTTTAATTGTCTCTTCCTGATTGAAACTTCCCACGTCACTCAAAACGTAGATCAGATAAACAGTATAAATTGGTTTCATCATCAATATACGATATACTAATTTTGGTCAAAATCTAAAACAGTGCATCGTATATTAAGACTCATCAAAATATTTTGAAAGTTTTTTATACCTATTAATGGGATCTGAATGGATATATGTCAGTATATTTCTATTTTAAAAATTATATTTTAAAAATTTTCAATTCTTACATATTATGCCTTTTTATATATATATATTTTTAATAGAAATATCATGCACTCATGTAATGATTTTTGACATTTAAGCTTCTAATAAGATCACAATCACCTAATAAAAATATAGCCCTCAGCAAATATTTCCTTATATGTCATATACACTATTGATTATTGAAATCCAAAAATAATGCACCACATAACAAGATTTATCAAAATATCTTATAATTTTGGAGATATCTTTGAATTTGATCGAGATGGACATATGTTAGTGCCTTTTCATTTTAGGAAATTTGTTCGATATTTTTTTAGAATTATTCAGCTTATGCACATTGTGTGATTTTCTACTTTTTATTTATTTATTTTTTTTTTTACAAAAATATCATGCACTAATGTAAGTTTTTTTGACATTTGACTTTCTAACTAGATCTCACACGCTTGGTAAAAATTTGGCTATCAAAAAAGTTTTACTAATATGCGATGCACTATTCTTGACTAAAATTCAAGAAAAATACATTACATGGTAGGACTTGCCAAAATAACGTAAAATGTTTTTGGATACATTTTAATGGAATCTAGATGAACATATGTCAGTGTTTCTCTAATTTAGAAATTTTTTGTTTATATTTTTTAGAATTTTTTCATTCTTTCATAGTGTGTCATTTTTTATTTTTTTTATTTTTTTCCAAATGTTCACAAAAATATCATGCACTCATGCAATGCTTTTTGACATTTGAGCTTCTAATAAGGTCACAATTACCTAGTAAAAATTTAACCTCCAGAAAATAATTTATAATATGCAATGCACTATTTTTGGTGAAAATTCAAATACAGTGCATCAACTTCTCAAAATATCTTAAAATTTTGAAAACATCTTTGAATTTGATTCAAATGGACATGTGACAATGTCTTTTCATTTTAGAGAATTTATTCAATAATTTTTAGAATTATTCAACTCATTCATATTGTGTCATTTTTATTTTTCATTTTTTTATAAAAATATCATGCACTCATGCAAGTGTTTTTGACATTCAACCTTCTAATTAGATCCCACACACCTCGTAAAAATTTGACCATCAAAAAAAGTTTTACTAATATGCAATACACTAATTTTGATCAAAGTATGAATAAATACAACGCATAGAAAACTTGTCAAAATGTCTTGAAAGTTTTTGTATATCTTTCAATGAGATCTGAATAGACATATGCTAGTGTTTTTCTATTTTATATTTTTTTTCTATTTTTCAGATTTCTTTTAGTTCTTGTGTAATGTGCTATTTTCTAATTTTTTAACTTTTTAAAATTTTCATAAAAATATCATACAGTCATATAATAATTTTTAGTATTTAAGTTTCTAATAAAGTCACAATACC